CTCCTTTCTTTTTTTTTCCAACTACTTAACAATTCATAGTATTCAAACACTTATTTAATTTCATTAAATTTGTTTCATAAACACATTTTGTTTCTCATAATGAAAAGATAATGTTGTTGTGACATTGCACCTGTAATTTATGAAGCCGTGCTATCTTATCTATGATGACTCCAGACCTACCTGACAGGAGCCCAGGGTGATGCTGAGCGCTGCCACTTCGCCTCAGATCACACCGCTGGAGTAACACAAGTGCACATCCCTGTGAGACCACTGCTCACTTGCTCGGCTTCATTTTTTAGACGTGTGATGGTTTCTTGCTCTTGATTTGGCCAGGAAAAGATAGGAATGCTTCACAAAAACAGTCGTTCTTAAGCCTCTCAGGTTTGTATTTGCTCGGGCACGCCGCCCGCAAACAAAGATGACTTTTGTCAATGAGCTGTTCAGCAAATACTTTCCAAAATATTCTCAAACAAATTTCCCGCAGTGTTTTGCACACCCATTAATGCATCACAGACAAACATATTCACTAACATTTTTAAGCCACGTGTTCTCTCAATGGAAAACTGAATCATGTAATCAGAGTATTTTCTTTTTTATGGTGGGTCAGATCCAATAATCCATACAAAATGCAACTCCTGATTTTCTCATATATGAAAAATATCTATCGCCGTGCACACACAGAGAGTTTCTTACCCAGAAAAGTGTCCCACTGGGACTACTCTAGTCCTACAGACATATATAAGAGCTTAGATTAGCATGTATATTCTTATATTTACAAATTTATATCCAATACTTAGTAATTATTTTGATGAATGTAGGAATACTTAAGGGTTACCCATATTCTTGTTTATGTAGCTTAGGTGTTTTTTTTTAATAGACTATAGAGTGTTTGCTTTTTGTATAAACTCAGCAGAAAGTATCAAATGTCCAAATAACTACAAACATGTCTTTTAGAAGTCTTTGGGGGGCAACTGGTGTTTTTAAATAACTGTTGTTAATATGACTTTATTTCTTCAAATTGAATTCATAGATTATTTTTTTTTCCTTAAAAAATATTGTCAGTAGTATGCCAATAGTGTAGGCTGAAGTATGCAACGGTATGCTTTGGGCTGCCGCCTCATCTCACTGACTGAGATTAATCTGCACTAACGCTTCTGAAAATAAAGGAATTGCTTTTTCTTGTGTAGAACAACTGCAAACTCAAAGTGTCTCATACTTTGTTATGCTTTGTTTTAATATGTTAGGACAAACTTCATTAAAGTTCTGAAATGCTTTCTAATTGGTAATAAAAGCACTCTGATTTATCTTCCAAACTTTAAAGTGTAGTCACACCTCTTTTCAAGGGGTCATGAATGTATCACCAAAGCTACATAAATAGACAGTCATGGTTTTTTCTGTTCAGGAAAATGAAGTTATGACTATGTTCTTTAGAGTTCAGGGTTGTTTGTTTTTTTTTTTTGTGAGGCATAAGCTAATTCTGTTTTGTTTTGTTTTTTGCTTTAGCTAAAAAACTAGGAATTACTGATGTGCCAGCTGAGGTGGTTACTTTTATTTCCCATGCAACACAAAACAGATTAAGAACAGTGATAGAAAAAGTAACAGTGATAACCCAGCACCGAATGGAATCGTACAAAGTAAGTGTGCAAAGAAAGGTATACTCTATGTTACAGAACGATGCAGCGTGATGTGGTTTTTCTTAGCACACGGTAGGTAGTTTGTGTTCATTCTGTGTGCAAAGTATGTTTTAATTGCAGGTTTGTCTATCTCAGCAAACAGAAAGTGGTGGTATTATAGCACTGCTTGCCAGATCTGTCTTCCTCTTCTGTGACAGAATTTGTGTGTAGAATTATGTTTTCGTCCTTCTGTGCTAAAGTGTCTAGCATGCAGCATCTGTTAAGCTATTTCTGCTCGTGGATTGTGACTAAGATCGCTGATTCTTGATGTCTCCTTTTTTGACCAAGGTATCTATTGATTGAATTAAAATTGTTTCAGTATATAGGAATCTACAGTAATTTTACATGTCCTTGCCTGTGAGAAATACTAATATTTTACAAAAGCTACCAATTTGTCTTAAACCACCAACTAAAGAATTCAGCTGTAAATACTTCACTGTAATTAAACAATGGTGTTCTCTTTAAAAAGAACATTTCAAAACAAAATGCTGCTCTGATTCTACTGTTAGTGAATCTTGAAGAAAATTGAAACAATTTAGATGTGTTAAACTGGGGGAAAATCTAAATAAGAATCTACGAATCAGACTGAAATTCAAATAAATCAAACTTTTACTGGTAAATAAAAAAATACCAATTTTGATAAAAGAAAGATGCTAATAGTTGTTAGACTGATGTAAAAGCAAGATGGCAATAACCATAGTTGTGTGTCTAAACTGTGTTTAGATTTCTTTAGTATATATATACACTGAGTAGCTCTGGTTTGGGTTTTTGCTTGTTTGTGGGTTATTGTTGTGTTTTCCTTGAGTGAAAGCCTGGTCAAACAGCTTTGGACTGTATCTTTGCCCACTTATTTTCCAAACCTGAGTCACAGTTGGACTAATATGTGGCATTTGTAAGAAAAATTATCTTTCGGATCTGTGATTAGAATCAACATTACTGTGATAGAAAAATGGATTTTTTTTATTTTTTTTTTTTAAAAAAAAAAGGCCACTATGCCTTGTGTATTACTTATCCTTACATCCTTCCTTGCAGTTGATGGATATATTTACTATATTGGACTATATTCTTCATCAGCTTCAGCAGTGTTAAATCACTCCTTCCTTCTACCTAGGATAGTGTCTGAGAAGAAAACACTTGGCTTAGTCCATGTTAAGCTAAAGATGCATTTAAAATAATACTTTAACAGATTCTTAGAAAAAAAGTCAGTGTTGTCTCTGATAGAACTGTAACATTTTCATTGTCTTCTGTTTATTTCTTAGTTAATAGTTTTCTTTGATTTCATAGCATTGCAGTCGGAAAGGCACGTATTAAGCAGATAAATGAGATGGAAGTAATACGGATAACTTATTTTTCTGACTGATGTTCTGAGTGTTCCCCATGTGGCTTGTGTCCTAAATTTTTATTGCTTGTTGGGTACTAGGAAGACTTGCATGCTCTTAGTTGTCATAAAGTTGTTCTATTTTGGTTGTAATTAGAGCTTTATTTTCAACTGAAATTTTAGCTTTAATACTTTAATAATGCTGCATCTTGATCATGTCTGTTACTAGTGCAAGATGAGTACAAATACAGGAATTGCAGTTTATATCCAGGTTTATATCTTATGTTTAGGATTGTTCAGTAATTAAGCATTTTAGGGGGTTTTAATCAGTAAGTTGGGTTTGGGGTTTTTAACTCTTTGCTGTCCCTGCTGCTGATAAATCAATCCTTGCTTTTTAAATTTGCTTAGATATTAAATAATCAGATTCTGTGTGCATTATTAACCGTAGGCTGGCTTCATTCCCCTGAGCTTAAGAGAAAAAGATTTTTTTTTTTTTAATTGTTAGTACAGTGGAAAGATTTTAATATATAACACCTGTAGTCTTCTTTAAATGAATAGTCTTGATGAAAATACATGTTTTTGTAAAACATTCTTCTTATTTTACAGGATGATGAATGGTATGAACAAGCTACAGATGTCCGATCACAGTTAAAGTTTTTTGAACAGTTAGAGCGTTTAGAAAAACAAAGAAAAGATGAACAAGAGAGGGAAATCTTGCTAAAGGCTGCCAAGGTATCTGTTTTACTCCTTTCTTTTTTTTTCCAACTACTTAACAATTCATAGTATTCAAACACTTATTTAATTTCATTAAATTTGTTTCATAAACACATTTTGTTTCTCATAATGAAAAGATAATGTTGTTGTGACATTGCACCTGTAATTTATGAAGCCGTGCTATCTTATCTATGATGACTCCAGACCTACCTGACAGGAGTGCTCCTGCATTTTCAAGATACAGCTCTGAATTTGATGAGTTCTTGGGAATATAGAAGACAATGGCTAACATTTTCAAAATAACTCAGTGAAATAATTTTCACAATTGCCTTTGAAATTTAATAGATGCCAGGGTTTCTGTGCCATTTGAAAATCATAGTCTACACTTCTGGTATTTAAACAAAATTCAGTAAATTGTTACAGAGGGTTTTTTGAGGCTTTTTACTTTTTCAGTTTCTAGACTTTTTTTATTTTAAAACAGTTCTGTTCATTTGTTTATTGGTTATTTATTAGTTAACTATCAGTTCTTCTGGACATACTCCTTTGTAACTTTATTTCCAAAGACAGTTTAGATACATGCAATACAACAAACGAAGACAATACTGTTTCAAGAGCATACAGGTACAGATAAATCTCCTGTTTATAACTGCAAATTTAATTATATTATATATATTGTATCAAGCTGCAAATAAGTTTATCCCTTAGTTATCTCAATTTTCATTGCATTTGCATTTTTATTGAATTATTTCTTGTATATTCTGAAGAGATTATGCAGAGCAACTCAGTGCTCAATTGTAACACCAAGCTTCCTGATTTTGTGCCATTAATGTTCACAAATTGATTTTTTTGAAAAAAACCTACCCTTCCTTATTTCAGAAATTTTTCTCAGTTTAACTACTTAAATCTGTCATGTTTTCACTCTTAATTTATAATTGTTCATATTGTTAAAGATTCCACAAATTTTCACATAACATATATGCTCTTAAATGTTTATCTGAAAACAGATTTAGTGTTTTCGTGCGTAATGCTTATTTTTTAAAAATAAAGGAATCCGTATTTTTTTTTATCCTGTTTTCTCCATTCAGTGAATACATCTCGATAAATCATGTTTTCTGTGTATCCTGCTGCTTGTTTGTTATGTTGCTTGTTTTCTTAATAGACATTGAGGAAGATGAAGTAGCTTGTAGTTCTTAGTTCAGGAAGGTTTCCCTGACTGCACAAACTCTTACGCAGGCTGATCTGAGGTTGGGTTAGATGACTTACTGTTGTCCCTTCCAACCTAAATTGCTTCATGATTCGATCTTTTTCTTGGTGGGGGTGGGGGGGTGGTGTTTGTTTTAAATCTTGAATAATGTAAACTCCTGTGAAGTCAAAATTTAGGAATTAAATTCACAATCACCAAGTTTGATTCCTGTAGATTACAGAAAGAGCAAAATAAAGAATTCTACAATAAATATATATATATATAAAAAAAAGTCCCTTACTTGATTTGAAGAAATTATCTTAATGAAAATAATGAATGCATAAATCAACTTCATAACCAGAAAGTTACAGGAGACAGCTTGGCATGAATACATGGTATACTAGAAAAATATATGAAGGCATTAAAAAAACAAACCCAAACCACAAAGTAGCCATGGAAGAGCAATGCTGATTTATCAGTATTAATGTTTAGAAAGAGAAGTTGAAGATCTTGTGAACCTTTTGGGAGGTGTTATACAATGTTGTGATCGAAGTGTAAATGCCAGTTTGTAACTGAACTTACACTGATAGCATCTTTTCTTTGTGGAACATCAAGCTGGGTCTCAACCATTCTGTTCTGATGGATTGATGACCTATTGCAAGACTTCCACAGGACATAGTTTGGCAAAATATGGTCATATTGCAACTCTTCAAGTAATTGTTTGTTCATGGTTTCCTTAGAATCTAGGCTGCTGCTCAAATAAATGCAATGTCACCTGTACATTAACAACAATAACTGTTGAGGTCTTTATTCTGAATTCCTATGTACTAACTCTACCCAGGATTTTTTTTTTTTTTTCCTGGTCTTTTATAAACTTGCCTCGTTGTCTAAGGAGATCTAAGTCTTTGTGGAAAGGATGTAGTAATTGTAATGACACAGTTATTAAATGGACACAGTTAAAATTTGCCCCAGCTGCCCTGATAAGTAGCGATAAAGTTCAGTAACCATTTCATGTCTCTTTGTGGCCTGCTGATTGATATTTGTGTCTGCAAAGTGGGTAATGAATAAACTGGTTCTGGAGACTGAAATATCCACTATGCAGACATTGTTTCCATGATCGTGACACCTTTGTCACCTTGACAGTGTTGTGTCTTTAAAGGTTAGAAAACTTGGAATTTTAAAATGAAATTTCTGTTTCTGCTTTTTTTCCCTGTAGATGCATAAATCTAAAAATCAGAAATTTTCTTTATTTATAACTTCAGCTTCTTAATGTGCCTTTTAGACAAACAGAGCGATCTTTTATCTTGTACATGTTTTGACATGTTATTTTGCAACATGTTTTTAAAGTTACTCAGCAAAGTAATTTTAGGAAAAGTTTCAAAATTGCCTGCTAGTGGTACCTCATCTATTGTCTAGTGTGGAAAAGCGTAAACAGGTTTAACTTGCACAGTGAAAATTCTATTTTAATTATTTACACTTTGGAGTCTTGTTAACAGACAAAGTCCAGGTTTTGACAAAGAATAAGATAATGAAGGAAGTGCTTTGGGCGTTGGAGTGTGGATGGTATTAAGCAATCAACTTTAAAAAATAATCAACTGAAAAGATGATGAAGAATGAAGGAATAGATTGAAATGAAAGGGGAGTCATCATGAGTCTTTGGGAAGCCTTTAAACCGATTTGGTAATTTTACATTTGAATTCAGTAAGGGGAAAGAAAGTTATGTAAATGATGGTCAAAGAAAGTGCAGGTTTGCAGCTTTTTGTTGTTGTATTGGGTAGTGGGTCAGTTTCTTTAAGAGGGGAAAAGAAAATATTTGACACTAGTATTCTGATTGATCTGCAACCGTAATTTCAGTTGTTACAGTAGGATGTGATTGCAGAATCTTTAACCACCCAGATGGGGTTGGTTTTGCTTCAGGAAATGTTTTTGGGTGAATCAGAGATAAAATCAGATGGGAAGACAGAAGGAAAAAAAAAAAAAGTTAGGTTTCAAAAAATATTTTAAATTTTTGACATTCTGAGAAAAGGCACTATCTGCGTTAAAAATAATTGTGAAGCTACAAGAGTAGCTTTAAAGCAAAACAGCAGTATTATGTGGCTCATTAAATGAGATAATATTACAAAATCTTATGTCCCATGCCTGGGAAATGCTTGAGAAATAGAAACTTAATACCACAAGCTTAGAAGAATATAATGACTGATGTTCACATTCTAGTGAGATGTTTTGGGGGAAGACAAACTTGACAGGAAAGGAAAAATCATAAGGTATACTATAGTAGCAATGCAAGCTACAGTTTCTTTTTTATTAAAAATGTGAAAATTGGAAACGACTACACTGTTTCAGGAGCTAGCATGATCTCTTGTACCTCGGGGATCTCTGCATCATGTTTCACAATGTATGCATATGAACCTAGATCATACGACCCAAAACATTGCTCTTATTTACCTCCTAGTAATTCTTTTTAAAATAGCAGAGTTTAAAGACATAATGGTCCCCAAACCTGTGAGATCCAGTCACCTCCTGCTGCTGGAACAGCTCCTGTTTCAAACATCCAGATAATATGATGTCTCAAATACAGAAGCTGTACAGGGAGAGAGTGCAGCTGTCTTGATTGTCATTACTTTTGAGTTATCTTCTGGATACACGAAGATAAAATAAAAATGGCACAAGGAGGGGCCATCTTGTATGTAAAAACCTATGCAGAATGGAGTCTTTTTAAAGGAAACATTATGGAGAGTCAGCTTTTTGCCCTCTTTTGTTTTCCCAGTAAGAACCCACTGGCTGTTGTTTCCATGTGTATGCAGAAGCAGAGATCTCTTGAATGTGTCTTTGGTGACTAGTATGGGAAATTGCAAGAAGACCTAAGGAAGGTCTTAAGACTGCAGAAAGGTCAAAAGCCAGACTGAAATCACTTGAGGAATTTATCTTTACATTTGATGTGGTGTGTGTTGTGCAGAGTTTCTCAAAAAAAAAAAAAAAAAGTCAAACCACAGGTCTTGCTATAGCAAAAGATGTGTTCCTTGATGCTTTCATAGCTGTTTCCAAAACCTGGAAAAGGCAGGTTGTGCATGTCAAATTGAATGAGGTTCTGGTTCTGGGCTAATAATGGGAAAACTTCTGTCAGCAGGAGGAATAGGATCTTGTAGTTAATATTTTTGGGTTTGGTTTTATTTCTGAACTGTTTTTTGGAAAGATAGAGGTACAGCTTGTGGTTGTCCTTGTTTTCAGAAAATCCATGAATACTAAATACTTCTGTGATATAATCTATAGTAAAGTGGATCATGTTAAAATTCCTGTGTTAATTCATCTGCTTAAAGTGGCTAAATGCATGTTTATTTTATTATAATATTAATTTTGAAAATTAATTTCCATATATATTCTATTAGTCTATTATTCTGAGTGTTCTATATTAGTAGCAAAAGCCTGTCAAGTTTGGGGGTCTTAAATAGGGCTCTCACAAGAGTAAAATCTCTTCTGTTAAAAGAATAATTACATAAATAAATGGAAAATTATGTTTAGTGTTGTTTGCACAGTCAATTAGTATTTATGAATGATAGTGATTTTTGTAGTACTACAGGCTGAAGGGCGCTTTTATTGGAGAGAGTTCATTGAAATTTGGCGGTGCATATTTTCTTACACACACGCCCTGTGATTACTTGAAGGGGTTACCTCTCTGAGCCAGAGATGAGTTCAGTTGTCATGCCAATTTAATCCTTTCCCCCCTCTTCTGAGAGTACAGTGGATGTAATGCAGCTTTCTGTGAGGTGAAGCGCTCTCTGAAAGGAGACTTATAACTCACTTCTGATGAGAGGAGAGCAGAGGGAATTATTGTGTTGAGATAATTTTCTGAATTTTTAGAAATTTGTTACTTCAATTTTAATGATTTTAAAATAAATCTTTTTTTTAGACCTGTACTCTTGCATTCCACCTCACTGTGGTCGTAGCTCTGAATAGGGTTTTACCCTCAGCTATGCTGCTTTTAACTTTCACTTTTTATTAACAAAGCTAATGTGGAAGCAAAGTGTTTCATGTTGCCAATTTAATTTCTTTAATTAAAAGTGAAAGTTATAAGCTAGTACAGCCGTGGGTGAAGTTCTAATGTCATCAATGGGGAAAAATAGGTTTAAAATTGAAACTGTTGGCACAGCAGTGGCTTTCAATAGTATAGCACCTGCAGTTGTGACTCTTAACTTTAATGAAAAAAAAAATAATTTGAAGCATTAAAGACTCCCAGTGTATGTATTGGGAAGGGGGAGTAGAGCCTTAACTGGGTTCAGATGTTGCTAAATGCAGGAGACATTTAGGAGGAGAGACCCTGTGAGACATAGGTTAACAAGTTGAGACTTGAAAATTATTATAAATCTAAGAGAAAACTTTTTTTTGTTAGTGAGACAAAAAGTAATAGTGGTGCTGCTTTGACATTACAAATTGCAACAAAATACTGAATAATGATCATAATTAAATACATCAGAAGGACTGTTAGTCTGCCCATCTGCATAGACACACAGAGTATCCTCCAATTTAAAAAAAAAATGTTGGATATATTTAAGTATTACATGAGTTACAGATATTATAATTATTTGAAAATACTCTTGCTTTCTAATTTAAGACAATTCTATGAAATAAAAAATCGTCGTCTTATAACTACACTGTTAAATGTGTAATTAGATGTCTGTTTTTGTGGCATTCTTCCTTAACACAAGCAAGGGGAAAAGCTGAGGTTTGGAACATTAGGGAGTTTGGTAACATGTAAATGAAACCCCATTTTGGGTTTTGAACAACCCCATAGTGTGTTTTGAATACACACATTTAACATATGCTGCTTTTCATACTTTGAAACTCTAATATTTCCATAGACCTAATGTGATCTGTGCAGTTTTCAGATAAATAAGATAGCAAGTTCTCTAACACAAATCACTTTCATTCTTAATAATTAAAATATCAGGCTGTCTGGTCTAATACAAGTAGCATGTGTTTAGAAGAAATGTTAACAAACCTGGTTTGGTGAATAAGTTCTCAGTAGGAGACAGCATTTAATGTATTTAAAGTATGTTATCTGGTTAAGATCAGTCCTAAGTTTCTCTAAAATTACTATGGGAAGCTAGCTGCTTCTAAAGGTGTTTATTCATCAGCATGAAAATATATTACATAAACCTATCTTTCTTTATTTACAGATCTAGACATGAAGAATAGAGAGGGGAAGGGAAAGGAGTTGTGATAAACTCCTTGAAAGTATTTGAATAGGGGGGTTCTGTGATTGGTGGGTGTTTCTGAAGCTTTAGAGGAAGGAGACATTGGTGCATTAAAAGATTTTGGAAAAACATGTTTCACAAGACAGGTGAGATGCAGCATATTAAGATTTGGATCTTAGAGGGAAAGAAGAACCAAAGATGATTTCAAGAAAAAATTGAGATTATTTCAAAGAACAATTTAAACTGGAATAACAAATACCTAGGAATGAATAGTAGCTTGATGAAAGTAAGTGTAAAATATTAAATTATTGGTGAATAAAAATGGTGGCAGATAGACAAGCACTAAAAGAGCTGAGCAGCAGCAAAATTGTTCAGAGTCTTCAGATAAAGGAAAAGATGTTCACATGTGGAATGGAGTGTAAAGAGAAGCCAGTGACATTTTTAAAGCTTATTTAGGCACCTCTGTTAAGCTTGACATTTTCATTTTGCTTATATTTGCTTTAAGGTGTGTTGCATCGACACTGAAAAAGCATTTTACAATTTACATTAGATTGTAAAGTGAAGAATTAATAAAATAGTCAATGTTTATACTTTTCCTTTAACACATTTTAGCCTCCATGTGCTTGATGATTTTATTTCTGGAGGTACTGATTTGCAAACTGACATGGTAGTCAGCAGGAAGATATTTTAGTCTTAATCTTTTTTTAAAAAATCTATTAAGATTTATCTGAAAACACACACACACACACACACACACACACACACACACACACACACACACACAAGACAACAGATAAATTCCTTAATTTTTTACTGTTACTTATACCAGTAATGACACATCCAGTGTAAAGTTGGGATTCTTCTTGTTTGAAACAAGAGCCTGAGCCCTTTGACAGGCCCATTTGGTGTGTGTTCAAGGAGTATCCAGCAACTCATTATGTTATTCTAAATGTAAAAGTAGTGCTACCTTCACCTTCGATACATATTTATGACACCTAACATCACCTGGTGTTTTAGATCTTCATTACTGAAAAAAATCCTGTATTTAATATCAGTCATGAGTATCTGTGTTTATCTCTGCAATAATTTTTATTATTTATTTATTGTGAATGAGCTGGAGTTCTACACAGAATAGATCATCTGCTTTTTTCCCCGCATTTGGGGTCTGCCTTTTCAGATTATCCTAAACTTCAGATCTACTTCTATTTGGTCAGTTTCTGAAAATAACTAATTTATTATTCTGAAAATAATTTTTAATCATTAGCACTTTCAGAGTTTTTCCTTCACTTATGGAGTCCAGGAAACTGAAATGTTACTTTGTATCTATTGCTTTAATTTTTCTTACAATGTCCCCAAACACGATGTAGATCTGGTGTGTTTTCCAGGGTTCTATCCCTTTCTTGTAGGAACTTGGTAACAATATTAGAAATCTCAGCTTGATTCTCCCAGGACATTCTGCTTTCTCCTTAAGCTGAAGTGCTTTTAACTTGTACTTTGCATTTGGCAAATGATTCAGCTTCATACAGTGGTATAACAACACTTTGTATTTCTGTACTGCTTTCACTGTGAGACTCAGAAGGCAATAGAAATTCATTGTACATTTATAAATTTATCATCAAAACCCACAAAAGGGCTAAATATGATTTTCCATACATCATACTGGAGAAACTGAGGCACACCGTAATTAACTGTCATCAAAAATGACAGAGCAAGGACCTAATTTAGCTCAGTTCATAAATACTTCCGAAATCCATCTCCTAGAGAAGCAACTCCTCGAACGGGTTTGGTTTTTTACCCAATAGGTATAATCAAATTCTTAGTAATTGCTCTACTGAATAGAGTCCCTGCTCTCAGGCAGATCCACAGATTTCATGAAATGCCTTTTTGTTTTTTAAACATTAACTAGATCAGATTATCTACATTTTTCTTTTTGTCTGTCCACGGCAGTTAGAAGGAATATCAGCCTATGTTAAGTTGGAGTTTTTTTCTTGGTTGGTACAACTACAACATGAGAGTCTAATTTGGTCATTAGCTATCTACAGATTTTAATTTCTCATTACATTACTCCAGACACTATCCTGTCAAACTGCCTTTTATGCCAACAGGCACAAAATCACTAGTAGGTGGTGTTGGAAGATGAAGCTAATGTGCACAGTGGAAGAGTCAAGCACAACTTATAAAAATCTCATTATTGTTTAATTTGGCCATGCTTTGTCATCACTGTGGTTTATATGTGGGCTATATTAGCTAAAAAAGTAATTCCAGTTTACAAGAAAAAACAAACAGGAAAAAGAATAGAGAATTCCGTGTCATTGGTGCCCTGTCTGCCAAGTCATAGTCAAGCCTCTCTCTGGGTATATCAACAATATTACATGTCCCCTTTTCCTTAAAACCAATCTCCCTTTAGTTTTCTTCATGGAATCTGAGCACGTGTAAGTTTGCAAGCTAGTATTCTTTAAAGTTTCAGGTCTGTCTTCAGCATGGAAGGAGGCAGAGAAAGATAGATAAAGGGCATAGATACTCCTTTAGGAGCTGTGTAAATGGTATCACTTTAAATCTCAAAGAAATATTGAAGTAAAACAATTACATCTTCCAGTTATTGGGAACGACAGTTTTCCATGAATGTCTCAAGTTTTATTGCAGCTTCTTACAACTTTTAATGCAACCTTTCCTGAATACTGACCAATCATGCAATTAAAAAGTAAAACGCATATATTAGTCACCTCTCGAGTTTTGAATTACCTCAATTTGGGTATGCTTAGTGAGCATAAATAAGAATTTAATAGTTTCGACGTATGGCTATAAACAGTCCGTATCTCAAGAAATGTACTGTTATGCACTGTTATTGCAATTAAACAGTTATTCTTAATGGGGTTTTAGAGCTATTGTTGCTGGTTTTGAAGGAATATATGGAAGTTGCCATTGAGCAGTATTTACCCAGTTTTAAAAATTACAATGTTAATGTTATTAGTAGCGCGTGAATGAGTTTAACCTATGTGTATATTTGTGCTGTACTCAAAGTAAGCTCATACAGACAGTAACATCTTTATTATGAAGATTTACTGTTTGGGAGGGTGACTTTACAACTGTTATCTCCACGTTCTCTACCAACAGTTGAATAAAAGCTTAGTTGCAAACAGTCAATTATTTTAAAATAAGTGACTGTAAGGAGTTTAAATTTAAAAGTTTGGATAATGGAAAGGGTGTCACTTCTGCTCTCCAATGCTTGAATTTGTGTTAAATAACTGAAATCTAAACCTATGGAAACTTTTATATTGACAAAAACATGATACTTCAAAAAAATTTAAATCTCGGGTAGATCTTATTTACAACTGAATATATAACTGTCTTTTGGGTGAGGCCTATGGGTTTGAAATTGCACTTCTGTCACTTTTAAGCATCCCATCTTTGACACCTTGTATCCTGTTCCCCTTTCTTTGCTATTTTTTAACTTACTGCAACAGATGAGGGGTTCTTAAACCATCTGTTAACCTTTTTTCCCCATTTTTTTTAAACATGTAGAGTCGCTCAAGGCAAGAAGACCCAGAGCAAGCTAGACTGAAACAAAAAGCAAAGGAGGTAAGCAGAGCTAGAGATCATTACACTTGACATTTCAAGGCTTGAACATATTAATTTTTTATGCCTTGCTACTTGTATATCGTTAATAAAAATCTGACTAAAAACTTTTTAGGATGTATTTGTTGCTTTGCCTTTGATCTTAATGTTTGCAAACTAATACATTAATACATGTGAAGCCTAAGGAGATTTTATAAGAGAATATTTCCATACATTACATTTTCATTTCCATTTTAGGTAGCTGTAGCTTTTGTTGGGTTGTTGATGACAGCAACACCAGATTTTGGTAGAAAATATATGCCTTTGTCTTTTTGTAAAATATCACTTTCTTAGAAATGTGCTACTTAACAATTTTGTTCTGGTAACAATCTTTCAAGTAATGTTATTGCCAGCTATTTTCTCTACAATGTTGATTCAGTGGACTATTTACTCATCAGTCTAAATTACAGCAATCTAAAAATTATCAAATAATTTCAGATGAAGTTTTGATATTTTATTCTAAGAGTAACAATGTGTGAACTACTGAGTATCTTAATTTGCTGTGAGTGGGTGGCTGTTCTTTGTTTAAGGCTTAGGATCAGGTTGTAACTTAAATCAATTAGCCTAAAATACCTATCAGTTGTAATTCATTCCTATTTTTAAAAAAATAACAAAATCATTTGCAGCAAACTGATGCTGGTTTTTTAGCCAACTTCTTTGGATATATGTATTAGCCAGTAATAATTATACATTAGAAGGTAATATATACAGAAAAATGCATAGAACACGTTCTTTTGTATTGACCTGTTTTTCCTGTTTTGTTTCCCTGTTGGCAGTATTCTGTAGTTCCGTTAGCTGTACAGATTTTATATATATATAACAGTCAAAAAAATCCAAGTACATGGTTGAGTTGTATTTGTCTCTCTTCATTATGCGATTATGTAGTAAGATTTGCTGAAATGAGTTCTTGTAAACATTAGACCATGCCTTACTGTTTCCAGAGTTGGGTTTGTCAGGCAGGTATTCAAATGAAATAGAGTAATCAAGTTATTTGGCAGGAAAAGACACAGGATTTTAATACTACTTGAGTTTAGTATGTAGCCACTGTATGCAAAGGAAGAATCAGATTTGAGAAAATAATTGATGGCAGGCAAAACTTGCTGCTGAGCTGAGAACTAAAACTACCATGCTGCTGGAAGTGAAAGCAAGCTAGAAATAAATTCATTTCTTGCTGCCACAATATTTGCATTCATTGTAATTCTGGTTTGGCCATTGGAAACTTGAGGAAGCAAAAGTAAACAACAGAGCTAATAGAACCCCGTTTTCTGGTAGTCTGAGTGAAATAGTGGTTCTCTTCAGAGCTGTGATAGAAGACTTGCAGTCTAGCCAGTGTGGTTGCTTTTGGTGTAGCTGCAGGAGTGAGTACTTCTCCCTTGTATGAAAATTCAGGTTGTCCGTATAAGCTGTGTTTCTTACCCACTAGAGGGAGTGACGCTGTGCTGACACGTAAATAAAAGAAAGTGTATGAAATGTATTCCGAGTAATGATAATAGTGGTATTAGTGAAGAGGTAGTAAATATTTTGGTGGTAACCTAATTAAGAGTGCTTAGATCAAACTGGTATGTCATTTTAAAGTAGTGGTGTACCTGGGTATGATAACATGTTTGAGTAAATGCAGAATGAATACTAGGTTTTCTGTTTGAGTGCTACACCCTGTTCTTTTGTACATTAGCCCTGCCTTTTTTCCCACCCTTCTAATGAAAGTGTATAATTTGCTGGCACCATGCCTTTCTCTGAAGTTGAATTTCATTCTACATATTTGAAACCATAAGAAATATAAGCATGTCTCTGTTTTTAGTAATTAGGATTCTAAAGAGCTCTCTTCAACTAGTTTAGAGACTTTCACCTAAAATATTCATATATATTTAATAAAAACATTCTTTTGCATTACCTTTTGGAAAACGGAATGGGGAAGTGGGACTGGCAAGATTTTGATTTAATATTGTTCGTATTTTTTCTGCACTGAATATATGCTGATGTCTCAAATTGTATTGGCACTGCCAAAATAAAAAATAACTGATTTTACAGTATAAAAGGTCAATTAGATAGTGTCTTTGGCATGGTTTTGTTATTTGAAATGAAAAGTTTTGAATCAACTCCTACAAAAATGTGAAAATTTTACTGCCAGCTGGGCTGCTCCTAAATGTGCATATGACCCATTGAGAGAGACATTGGATTTCTTCCAAGTTTTGTGTAAGCTGATGAATATAATACTGTCAGCTTTGATAATAAGCTGGATTTGAAGCCGTGTTTCCATGATTTCCACATCTTGAATATTGCCTGAAGACCTTTGTTGCTCAGATATTCTTCTGGGCAGTAATAAAGTGGCTACTAGGTAGTGTTTTACAAAGCATGAAGAGGGCATCTAAGAAGCCTGTAGCATTTTTAGCTTGTGTTGCTTGTTTAATGATATGATTGTCAGATAGTTTGTTTTTTCATATCGGCAAAGTAGCCGATAATTTCATTGTTATGTTCTGGAAATGGATAATGTTTCAGACTTCGCAGTGCGCCAGCGTTTGAACAGTGACACTACTTCATTCCTCCTGCGAACGAGGCAGGCTGGAGCCATTCTCTTCAAAACTGCATGTGATGACTGGTTCACTGCCAGATAGAAATGCCCGAATACCTAAACCAAATGTAACCCATACATGAAGTCTGATAAAGAGAATATAGCCCAAGATACTGCGAAAAGTCAGAGGGAGAAAGTGAAATACCAGAAGTAGTAACTTAAAGTCTTTAAGAAAGTCTTTTAAATCTTTTAAGAAAAAACTTTTAAAAACAGTGAAAAAACTCTAGAAAATATTGTCTTGTCATACAAATCAATGTACCAACACAAGGATAAATAGGATGAAGAGGAAAGAAGGAAGGTTAGCAAAGAGTATTTGTTCCAAAGCATTCTCCTTTATGGATATTTTAGAGTCTTTCATTCCATAATGCTCTGGATTTCTTCCTAATTTAAAAAGGAGAAAGTTCAATTTCTTTCACAGAACTTCTACCATTAAGAAGTCCCCTTCTTGCTTATTGGTGTCATCAAGAAAATGTACAGGGAGATCACTGTGTCCTTTGAACACATTTAAAAATGAATTTGGGAAGGTGAAGATTATTTAATGTTTTATTCTGTAACTCTGTCTTACTTCATTTATTAGCCAGTCTTCAAACTACTCTGCATATTGTTTAAACCAAACTGGCATAAATCAAGTTTAAAGTGTATTTAAATACTTACCAAAACAAACAGAAGGTCCATCTACATATGGTCTTATTGCAGAGACTAGACATAACAGTCAAGTTTCATTCACACACAGGCTAGCACTGTTTTAGTTAAGTCAGTGCAATCCCACTCTTATTTCAGCTTGATTGACTTATTTTGCTTTAGCATTAACCTGTTTCAAATGGACTTGAGTGAAAGCAGTGGAAGAATGTGCCTGTGGGGGCTGTATTGCTTAAAACTCTCAGTTTACTTTCACACTTTTAAATTGGTACCGCTTTTTGTCAGTGGACATTATATGATTGTTTTAATGGTAAACCTATTTAATAAACTAGTGAAAAATATTTTCCATTGAGACTATTTCAGGGAATAATGCTGCTCTTCAGCTGTTACTTGTTCCATTGTATTGTAACATAAATTCTGAAATGTTTGACTCTCAGTACAACTTAATGTAAGAAATATCATAATTTGTTAGTTGTGTCTACTTTACGTTGTATGATTAAAGCTTTTAAAATCAACTTTTAGAAAATACACTGATTTATGTAGTCTGTTGGAAGCATGGCAAGTCACAAATACAACAAAGAAATTATGAGTTCTCTAATTTCCATTAGAAGGGTTCACTAAATAGGACATAAACCAGGCCATATAACTGATAGCAGGAATAGATCGAGATTAGGGATAATCGAGTCAACACCTAGCAGTTAATAGAAATGTTTTAAAAGAAAGGCAGGGAAGGTAAGATCCTAAACATCCTTTCCGTCACAGATTTTTTTTACATAATCAGTGTCTGTTGCTAAAAATCTTTTAATTTAAAAGTCAAGTAGCTGAGTTTGATCCTGAAAGATTAACTTGGTTAAAATCTTTGTGTCATCACCAACCAAGAATATTGCATAATAATAAAAACTTAAACCAGACACCATAAATGTCTGGGCATGTATCCAGGACCTAGATCAGTTTAGATAACACTCAATTGAGTCTATTCTCAGATGTACTCGTTAACCATGGAAGTGAAATCTCAGACCTGTTGGTATTCATAATAGAAGCATTACCAAATTCAAGGGAAGACAGGAGACAGCCCCTTACATACCTTTGTCAGCACAGATAGCCTGTCTTTCTAGGACTGGATAAAGTTCTTTAACAGTGATAGATATTTCAGTGGGGTGCTGTTGTGACTGTTACACTGGTTAGGAACTTCAGGAGTACCCCGCTGTAGCACAAGCAGACAAGGGGCAGGTTTTATCCATGCTCTCAGGAGGAGCTGTATCCACTGCAGCACTGTGGTAACTGTTTTGCTCAGGCACTGTCATTCTCCTTGTCTGACATGTCTTCTGTAACAAAAGCCTTACTCAGCTAAGTTTAGAGTTTGAACTGTATCCTTTTCTGAGTTGCATGCGAAAAAATATCAGGACTGTTAGCAGATAGAGTTCTGTAAGAAGCCATAGGATCCTTTTCTTAAAAATAATAATGAAATATGTGGATCATATGATGTGTATCTTATATAGCTCTAAAATTGTGGTAGAAATTCTGAATCCCACATAAAATAACTTGTCTTTAGCAGAATTACAGGAACTCCAGCACCATGTATTTAACAATGAGATTACGAAAATGATTTTACTATTAACTTGTCACCAAATTAATATTTATCAACTCAATAGGAGTGGTTTCTTTAAAAATATTTAAATAATAGTTTACTGCAGTTATCCCTGTTTTCATAAGGCATTAGTGAAAATGAAAAACAAATGAAAATGGTTTTGTTTCA